ATAGTTACTAAATATACAAGTTTTTGAAAAGGTTGGAAGCACAAAAGTCAAATATGTGAATATCCATATTTACAGTTTAACTCGAGTAGTTAGGCCACCTTTTAAAGATGCCTAATGCTCTGCCTTGGATCAAAGCTGTGGCCATACTTTTCCCCCCATTAGCAATAAAGCAAACAAGCCACACATTAGCTGGAGTGAAAATTCCTGTTTCTGGTGTGTTTTGCAATCCTATGTGGTCACTAAAAGTACCTACACCTTTTCAACAGGGGCGGGCCACATCTCATTTGCAACAGACACCAGCGATCCATGAACGGCTCATTATGCATCGTTTGGTCAGGCGTTATACAGCGCTACTTTCCTTTGTGTGACATCATGAATACCTTTAGGCAACTGCTGTCCCAAAATGTGAGCTGTTATATTAATTGTAATGCTTATTGTCTCAGTAAAGGTGGCGTTTTAAACTCGTGTGTTATCCTTGAACAACCTATGTGACCAGGAAGCTTTTAGTAACACAGGACTTTCCTGGGCCTACAGCACAGAGACTACAGCAGACGTAGTGTTTTGTGGGAGAAACGTTTCATCACGTCACGTCTCCTACAGGTAGTTTAACATTACTCAACAGGAAGAGGAAATACTTGGAACTATGTCAAAAACAAGTCCTTATCTGGAAGTCAGTTTCTTTGTTCTGACTCATGTAGGAAGGATCACATTTTCCAAACAAATCCGCTATACACAATAATTTCCAAACAGTTTCTATTGAAATTAACGACTTTGTTTCCATTTTCCAAATATAGTGCAGTCAAAAGCTATTTGACAGCACTCTTTCCTGATTTCTTTTTTTATGCTTATTTGTCACACTTACATGTATCATCACACAAAACAAAGCAAAAAAAACCCGAGTAAACACAAAATGCTCTCTTAATGAATGAAATTACAATTTCATTCATTAAGAGGGAAACGTTATCCAAACCTACCCAGCCATGTGTGAAAAGCTAAATCGTGATTTTAAAAAGTTAAATCACGAAGCTGAGTTTAATTTCACTAAACACACTCAGGCCTGATTACTGCCAGAGTTACCGAATCGAGAAATCACTTAAATAGAAGCTGTCTGACAAAGTAAAGTATCCTAAAAGACCTCAAAAAGCAACATATAACAGCATGAGCTAAAGAAACAGCTGAGAGACAAAGTCACTGATATCTATCAGTCCAGAAAGGGTTACAAAGCCATTTCTAAGGCTTTGAGACTCCAGCGAACCACAGTGGGACTCATTAGCCACAAATGGAGAAAACATGGCACAGTGGTGAGAAAGAGACCAGGCAAAAATGGCATCCATGGAGAAAATCACTGCTGCCTAAGAAGAACACAAAGGCTCGTCTTAGATTTACATAACAATATCGTGATGAAAATATCCAAGACTTCACACTTTTTGGAAGGTTTAAATTCTGTTACATGTGACATAAAACTAACACAGCTTCTCATAAAAAGACCATCACACCGATGGTCAAACATGGTGGTGGCAGTGTGGTCGTCTGGGGCTGCTTTGCTGCTTTAGGACGACCTGCTGTAATTGATGGAGCCATGAATTCTGCTCTCTACCAGAAAATCCTGAAGGAGGATGTCCAACCATCAGTTCATGTCCTGAACCTCATTTGAGTTATGCAGAAGTGCAATGATCCAAAACAACAGCAAGCCTACCTACACAAAAAATAAATAAATAAAATAAATAAGGTGGTTTTGGAGTAGCCTATTCAATGGCCGGACTTATATTAGACTGAGATTTTTTTGGCAGGATCTTAAACAGGCCATTCATGCTCCAACACCCTCCATTGTGGCTGAATTAAAACAATTCTGCAAAGAAGAGTGAGCCAAAATTCCTCCACAGTGATGTGAAAGATTCACTGGCAGTCGTGACAAACGCTTGATTGTAGTTCTTGCTGCCAAGTTTGGCACAACCTGTTATTAGGTTTTAGGGGGAAATAACTTTTTTACATATGAATTTCAAATGAATGAAGTCATCATTTTAAATATTCATTTTGCATTTACTTGGGTTTTTGATTTTTAATATTAAATTTTGTTCAATAACCTGAAACATATACATGTGACAAATATGCCAAAATAAAACTCAGGAAGGGAGCAAATACTTTTTCACGACACTGTATATCATGCTACCTCCATCGGTGGTAGGTTGAACTGTGTTTCTCCCACAGAAGTCACTTGTTGGTGTTTACCCAGGCTCAGCGGGTGAGAGCAGCAGTGATAAAGTCACACCTCAGGCCACTAAAACGGAGCCTGGATGTGAGGCCCCCAACATCAGGTGTCCAACAGAGAATGAGACGTGCCAAAGTTCTCACACAAGGCGACCGTCAAGGAATCTTAATTAGACCGTGGCCTCCTTTGAAGGGAAGATCTGTCATAGTCAGATTAATAGTGTCTTACTTCAGTAGGTTCCTGTCTTTAAGTCACACACTCCACATTCATTTGTGACTGGGTTATAAAAGTGTGGTGATAAAACAGAAGAGTGCTTTCACTCTGCACTTTAAAATGTGCACACAGACCTAATTACATCCAGTATGGGAACCAGACAACACCTTTTGATGTGATCTTTTATGATTTACGTACTTTCACTTCTCTGGAAAACAATTGAGTCAAAGGGACGTATTGTGCCAGCGTGTTAGACAGGTTGTATCATTTCCTTGAAACTGTTGGTTCTGATAACTGCGAAAAATGAAGTGGGGAAAGAAATCTGAGTGAAACTGCTATAGTATCATTATCCCATCATCTGTGTCTACCAAAGCACTTAACTCACAAATTTTAGTATTTTTATGTTATTTTTGTTTTTTTATTTGAATGCACAATAGGCTTTTCAGAAACTGCTAATCCTAGTGGTGGTTGTGTGGGATTTTCCCACACAACCACCACTAGGATTTACAGAGAATGATACTAAAAGAAATTAACGAAAATATCCTAGAAAAACAGACTCTTTCCTTGTGAGCATTGAGAGGGGAATCCCCAGATTTTTACCAGCTGATTAGAATGTAACAGTAAATAAATAACCACACCTTCCAACCAAGGTTTGCAGAAGAGCACCTCTGAATGCACAAGAAACATACAGCCGCAGGAAGACCACTCCGGCTGCTGCTGTCAGATAACAGGAAACTGAGGCTATTGGCACAGTTCTCCACAAATGGGCAGTAAAATGATTATGGAGGATTATCTCTTATGATTTTGGGTTGTTTTTATTATTTTTTATATTGTTTACGTGGATGATTTCTTGAAAGCTTGTCTGTAAATCAGGTTTTCCTGTAGGCACATGGAAACACATGACAACACATGACAACAAAAAACATGACAACAAAAAATGACAATGAAAGTTAAATAAAAGAATCCATCCTGCCTCGTATCAACAGGACCATGTAACAAATCTCCAATCATCTCAAACTGGTTCGTTGAACAGGATGATTCGTTCACTGTGCTCAGATGACCTCCACAGTTACCAGGGCCCTGTTTCAGGAAGCCGGTTTAGAAAACTCAGAGTGAAAAACGATACGCAGGGTTGAGTAACCCCGAACTGTCCAACTCGGAATATTCGGTTTCAGAAAGGCTGATAACAATTAGTTCAGTCAACGCGGAGTTGCTACAACCCCAAGTTAAGCACGCGCACGAGGATACATAAAGCCCCGATCAGTGGAGCACAGATTAAGCGAGTCACCATGGAGACGGAGGGAAAGAAGGCGCGTTCGACGTATTTCACAGCGCTCGAGGCGGAAATTCTGATGGCAGCATATGCCGACAGCATGCACATCATGCAGAAAAAAAGTAACACAGCCGCAGCTGCAAAGGAAAGGGAGCATGCATGGCAAAACATAGCCGACAGAGTCAATGCGTGAGTGTTAATTTAAACATTGATCTAGGGATTTCCACCCATATAACACGTTATTTTATCATATGTCATTCTATTTATTATGTTATACATTTTATTTTGTGATGTGATGTGAGCGCAGGTGCAACCCAACAGGCCCCAAACGTTCCTGGCAGCAAGTAAAAATGAAGTATAAAAACATAGTCCAAACAGGTAAGGTGTAATTGTATTATGAGCCATAGTGCTTGGTCTGTGTGTCCTATGTAAATCAATTGCAGTTAGAGGCTACAGTAATATACCACCTGTAAGCACATATTGAAATTATCTGAGCACATCACAAGTACACATTTGCCTACTCTGTATGCCCAAATGTGTGCCGTCACAGCCAACAGAAAAAAAGCGGAGGCCCGAAAAACAGGTGGGGGTCCTCCACCACCACCACCCACAGAGGCTGAGCAGTTGGCCCTCAGCCAAAACAGTGGGCGCCCTGTGGCTGAAGGCATCTCTGCGGGGACATCCTCTGTGGCAACAACCCCACAAGACACAAGTGCCTACATAAGGGGTAAATCCAAAACAATACATGGCGTGCATACATCCATTCTGCACAGTCACCTTGACCAAAATGAACTATGACGTAGTGAAGTTACTGTCCTACTGACAGAGAATGACAGTCATCAAACAGTTAGGTGAATAAACAACACTGAGACACTTGGAAACTGTTAACGTGCTGCACGGGTGAGGGCCCAGGGAGAGACTCACACACACCGAGCTGCAGTGGTACGTCTTTATTATGAGCATAGCAGTGTCCTTTAATTTTGCATACATGCGTGTGTGTGTGTTAACCTCCCACAGGGTGAGCTCCCTGTTCCCAGAGACAGAGCGAGTAGTACATTCCGTACCTTTCCCAATAAGTGTAACATATGAACATATACCTCAATGCAACATAAAGCTCATAAAAGCGTTTCCACCCTGACACCTACTGATTTTGCCTTCCCTCAGTGTCGGTTGTCTCTGAGAGCATACTGACAATGAGGTGTATGGTGATTGGTATGTCTGGTAATTGCCATTTGCGCCCACATAAGTCATGAGTGACCTGTATGAACCCCATATTCTTCCAGTTGACGGTGATGGTGTACTGCATCTGGTGCAGCCCCCTGTTGAGCCAGACCGACATGCAGTTGTGAGTAATACTCCACAGACTACATGTGTCAACAGTAGAACAGCAATGTTGTTAAATGTCTCCACCACAGGCACATGATGACGAAACAGTGACAGCTGCTACAGAGGAGGCCGCAACAGAGCCACACTATGAGGTATACAGTGTACAGTGGAAAATATAACAACTGACGACAATGTGGTACTATGATGACACCATGGACTTACTATGTCCCCGGCAGAGTGATGCTGGAAATGAAGAGGAAGAGGGTCCAGCCACTCCTACAACGAACCTTTCCACAGTGGGTTGTTCAGCACTGATTTACAACCAACCTAAGTAGGCATGTACTATGGATGCCAATGCTATGTCCCTTGTTGCAATAGCTCCCTGTGAAGCAGCTGTATAAGACATATCTGGCCAGGAAGATACAGAAGTGCGACATGGAAATGGTGCACCTCCAGCTGCAGATCCAAAAGTCGAAGCTGGAGATTGTACTGCTGGAACAACAGTTAAGGGTGGGTGGAGTGATCATAGATGGACGAATCATGTCAGTGTTTGTACAACATACTAATATACGCATTTATTCTTTGTGTACAGGACATACAGGGTGACCAATAAAGGCAGTTGACCACAGTATCTGTGTATTTGTCTTGTAACATGTTGGGTTGACGGGTCACAGGAAATGGTTGTGGCATATGGTGTCTCTGACTGCTCTTCCATCCTGTACGTTCGTGGGTGGGTCAGGATGTTCATTGTGTGGATCACTGCTGTTGTCTGGTTCAGCTGGACACTGTTCACCTCTAATCGTGGCAATGTTGTGTAGGATCACACATGCCACAATGATGTCACATGCCCTTTCTGGGGTGACCCTGAGTCCACGAAGGCACTGGAACCGGGCCTTGAGCATTGCGATGGTCATTTCAACTCTGGCCCGTGTCCTGCAATGGGCCAGATTATAACGCTGCTGTGGGCCCGGTTCAGGGTCAGGGTAAGGGGTGAGCAAATAGGGTAGACATGGGTACCCCCTATCACCAAGCAGGTGGCCAGTGAACTCTCCTAGGACAGAAGAATACATGTCAGTGCAAACGTCCCTGTGGCAATTGGTCTCTGTATATTTCACAGTTACTTCGACCCACCATGTCCAAATTTTGTGCTCAGTGTACATTCACGGAATATTTGTGAGTCATGTACAGAGCCTGGCCACTTGGCTTCCACATTTGTGATGATGTTGGCAGCATCACATATGATCTGCCCAGTGCAGAGAACACATATTAGCATCCATTACCATGATGCCATCACTTGTTGGTGTGAAATGCTACAGGGAATTATGTACCTGTACATTGATGCTGTGGACGGACTTCCTGTTCACATAGTCTCCTTCATTTGCTGAGGGTGCAATGATTGGGATGTGGGTGCCATCTATACAGCCAATCACGCCTGGGAACCCTGGAAATTTATGTACCATTTGAGTGGTAGTTCACGTATCACCACATCATGCATTGAGTTTTGTTCATCCTGATACCTGCAATTTTGTGGAATCCCTCTTTGATAAATCTTGTGGGTCTGTGACCGGGGAACACCACAAACGAGTGCAGGAGACGTTTCAGTGCTACTGTAACATTCCTGACTGCCCGACAGACGGTAGCCTTGGAAACGTGCTCAGCGTCACCGATATTGTACAGAAAGCTCCCGTTTGCAAAGAAACGGAGTGCAGTACAAAGAATATGTAATGGACTGAGCGCATGTCCGCGATGTGTCACATGCGCAATATATGGCCTGAGGATGTTATCCAAATAACTTATTGATTGTGCTGAGACACGGTAACGTTCGCACAGGAAATCATCAGGTAATGATAAGATGTCCATACGCGCTCTGATCACTCTCTCCCGGCGGAGTGCTCTGCGGAGAATTTGGGCTTCAAGATCTACTGGCTCTTCAAGGAAGGGACACGCCATGTCTGACACTTCCTGCTGTCAGGTTTCCGACAAAGAGGCGGGGTCAGTCAGGGTTAGTTGTAGTAAACCTGCTAGGGGGCAGGTTAGCTTCACGGCGTGTGTCGTCATAGTGACTCACTGAGGCTTCAGCTGAACTCGCTTTGTGAAACCGAAAACCCAGAGTTTTCGTTAACTCAGGGTATACTTACTCAGTTTTTCCACTAAACCGGCTTCCTGAAACAGGGCCCGGATCTTAATCCAGTAGAGCACCTTTGGGTGGAACAAGAGATTGTCATCACGCATGTGCAAACGATAAATCTGCAGCACCCGTGTGAAGCTCAATATGGACCAAAATGTGAGTGAGGAATGTTTCCAGCACCTTGTTGAATCCACCCAATAATTGGGATAATTAAGGCGTTTCTGAGGAAAACGGGTCCTAGTACTGGTGCGTGTACCTAAAGAAGTGGCCAGTGAGTGTATAATCAAATGAGAATCTAAAAGCAAATCTAAAGCATTTGCATTTACGATATGAACTGCAGCTTTATCTTGCTCTCCTGTTTCTCTTTCAAATCGTTTAAATCTACGTCTTCATTACTTTTGCTTTTGGGGCTTCGCACACAATAATTTTCCTGTTTTGCTATCGGACATCTTTGTCCTTGACTTTGATTTATCGTAAAAATACTGTAAATATTATTAGTTGGTACTCTGATTTGTGCCATGTGTTCCTGTTGTTTGAATTGTGATATATGGCAGCTTCACATGACAGCACTTGACTTTAAAAGCTTAATAAAAAATCAGCTAGCAACTAGCTCCAAAGCAAAAGTAGCAGTTTGTTATGGTCAATTTCTCAGATTTTACTCACTTGCTTAATTTAAGAACTTTTTGTGTTTTTTAAGTTAAAACACACACAAAAGAATTTTTCCCATGAACAATCAGCAAGTGTTTAAAAAAACTGATTACATTGAAGCATCATGTTTTGGATTTCATATGATTTTAAATATATATATATATATAAAAGTGACTTCCAGATAACAGAAAGCCTTATAGAGATGTTCTATGGTTTAGTTCTCCAGCTTAAATGATTATTTAGGTAGCAGTTAAATGCTAGCTAACTCAAACGGCCTTACTCTCAGTGCTGAAAGAAAAGAAGAGTTTTTACAGTGAACTTTATGTCTCCAACTGAGCACACAATTTGTTCTTGGATTTAAGGATTTACGACCTTCCACATCATTTCTTTGGATTGCCATGGGCTATAAGTCAGTCTTTGATGCGGCTGAGTCAAAAAGTGTATCAGCCCCCTCACAGTAGGTGCAGTAATCCAAGTTGACACTGCAGCCCTTTCAGAGAAGGTGACAGCATCTCTGTGGCTTGTTAAAGGCTGTGCGGAGGCTGACACCAGGGGAAAAGGAGATGCTGCAGTGGTAGGAATGCTGGGAGGACAGACGGCCCCCCAGATCAGCTGTAGCAGCTCTTCCAGAGTGAGCACATTCGACCAGACAGACTGTAAAGTCGTTAGCGTCCTGATAGCAGCAGAGCTGACAGAACTTTCCATCTACCGTTGACTTCTGAACTACAAGTTAAGCTCAACATTACTGAATAATGTTAACAGTATAGCTGAGGTTTGCAACCCCCCCCCCAACAATACCCACCAGTATTTGTAGTGTTGCGTATACATGATGGTGCCACGCAGTGAGCATGTGTGTTACAATCTGGGCCCACATTTTTTAGCTTGTGCTTGTTTATTTCTTGGTAAATTGTCTCTATTAGAAAGAAGGTGGCAACCATCAGCAAATCATGTTGAAATTAAAGACAAACATGAAGCAGGTTGTAGACTTAAAACGAGCAACGCCCATCTCTGATGGTTTTTAGGTTTCTTTGTGGAAATTTATATATTAGAGATCAGTCATTGCACTGAATAAAAAACGCATTGTGTGTTCAGATATGACTGAGTTTAGACTGACAACAAACTTTCCAGGTCATGCTTCTCATGTCTCCTTCCATACTCATCTTCATATGTACTTCCTCAGAAGTGCACCCTGGTTTGGAAAGCAGTACCCCACAATTCAGATTTTCTTGGCTACCTGGCTAATGCGTACTGTCCAAAGAATAAGAATGGTTTTATTTTAAAAAACAAAAGACCAACCCATAATATATAATCAGTATGATTTGATACTGTTCTTTGCAAAGACAGGAACAAAAAAACCCAACATATTTTTAAATCCACCTTTCTAAAGTTCAGGTGTTTGATTGAGGTGAAATGTCCCTTTAATATCAGTACCAGTATGTACAATTTCAAATGTATCTATTTAACAGTCATCAGTAACAAAAAGCAGCCTGCAGCATCACCCACAATAAACCTGCAGTCATTTTCAAATTTATTAACGTGCTTAAATTAGTCTAAGACCTTTTTGTCATTTCTGATAGGTAGACTTTGTTATTTTCAGAAAAAGGTTATTATAGTGAACATACATGAGGTTATGTTATATATCATCAAGCAAGCACAGAGATCTCCATCTCATCCTACTGTGGTTATAAGACAGCCGTAGGCGTTTTACATCTTATTCTGAATGTGTTTTGGAAGAGTACGAGTTTATGGGGCCGTGTGTGTGTGCAGACGCAGTCACAGGTGTTAATGCCATGTGACTGAGGTCAAGACGGGTAAAGTGAGAGTGCTCAGCTGTCCACGTAGATCACTGTGAAAGAGCAGTATGTTGGGAATGGACCAGAGAACTGTGTAGAGTGATCCTAGCAACAAACTGTTAGAAACACAACTGTTACTCTGTGTGTGTGTGTGTCAGTCAGTTTTTATTAGGAAACAACATACACCTACTATTCCGAGTGTCACAGTGCTCCCAGCGCCATAAACGTCATGCCTTTTTTTGTTGTTGTTTGTCTTTGATAAATGGAGAGCTGCATTGTTTACATGTGATGGTATCGAGTACACCGTTGCTAAAGAATAAATATGTGCATGCAATTAGGTTTCATAATTTCCTGGACAAAGACAATTTTTGCATTTCTTCTTCTGCACACCACCACAGTGGACTTTTAAAATGAAGTGCAGTACACGAGCTGTATAAACAAGTTTTAATATGAATCATATTTGCTGCCTTATTTTATTTTTGATGATGTAGAACTCTCAAAAACTCCTGTATCAAATATGATTACCTGTTTAGGAATTAGACATTTTTTGACAAACTAACATAATTTTAACATAATTAAATATTTATTATTTAATTATAAGGATAGTTTTTAAATACTCCTGTTTAATAATGCTTTGCGGTCACTGAAAGCCTGAAGTCTAGGACCCATGGACATCACCACATGCAGATGGTCTGTCAGGCCTTTAAGCTTTAAACCCCTTGAATTAAAGCTGAGAGTCT